CGCAGCGTAGAGGATGGAGGAGCTGGATGTCTGCGTCCTCAGGGAAATCTTAAGATGACTCACAAGCCACCCGAGGGGAGAGAGGGGCTAGGGGATGAATGGATTGCCACGCAGAGGGCGGGGCGGAAGAGACGAGCTTCGGGGCGTTGATTGGCCCGCGTCAGTTTCTTCCGCACATCTGCAATGCGCGGGGCTGAGCGATCCCACCGCGGGCTGGGGGGGCTGGAGGCGGAGGGCTGCGGGGCTGGCTGACGTTTGCTTCCCGCCTGCTGGGCCGGCCGGGAGCAGTTCATGAATGACTCACCTCATTGTCAGGCTGATTCATGGCTCCGCTGGGGACTTGGGGGAGGGGCCCAGCCCCCTCTGTACGACTCACACGCGCGCGCGCGCATACACGCGTATAGGCGCGGGCGGGGCTCCTGAGCTGCGGGGGTCCTGACGTGATGGCTGCGTTTCACGTGGAAGAGGAAAGAGGGGGCTATACACATCAGCTGGTGTGAAGAACTGGTGTACCTGTAGCTATTTAACTGAATGCAGTTAAAGCCTCAGTTCCTTAGTCGCACTAGGCACATTTCAAGTGCTGACCAGCTCCAAGGGACTAGCGGCTCCTCTCTTGGACAGGGTCAATCAAAAGCATTTACATCCACACAGAAAGTGCTATTGGACAACTGGTTTCCATGCTGCATACACACCCTTCCCACGCAGCCACACAAACAGGCCAGCCCTCCCCTACCCCCATATGCAGCACACAATACACATTTAATTCCCCACTCAGTGGACTTGCAGCACACCCACCAACACAACCACACAAAACTTTCAGTGTGTGTGCACATTTCCCGTCCAAATCCGCCCCTTTCCAAACCAAGGCAAATGTCAATACAAACCCATGCATCATAACAGGGGTTTGCCTACAACTGTTAATAAGATGAAAACAAATTAGGGTGAAACTTATTTCCAAATAAGCTGAAATAGATACAAAGCAATTCCCAGCCCATGTCTGTAAACTCAAGTAGGGGGGAAGGGAACCGTTTGTTGAGGCCCTGACAGTCTGCCAGGCTTAGTTATCCATTTCAATGCATTAATTCATTTAATCTCAAGCCACCCTGTGAAGATGCAGTGTTCTGTTTTCATAGATGAAGCAACTAAGGTTCAGAAAGGTAAAGAAACTTACTCAAGGTTACACAGCCATTTAGCAACTGAGTGAAATATGAACCAGGATCTGTCTGACTAATTTCTCTCTCTAGGTTTGCACTCCTTTGTACCTATGTAAGTAAAGTTCCTTCCGAACAACTGCAGCTACTTGTGGAAGTGAACGTGGAGTTGCCCAGATTCATCCATTCTCCTTCCTGACAAGGACATTCAGTCATTCAACATTTGCTCCGTGTCTTCATACTGGTTCACAGAGGTGAAAAGCCACAAGCACAAGTCTTGGCCAGAAGGCATGCACAGTCCATTGGGGGTGTGAAGAAAACAGGAAGACAACACAGGGCATACAACAGACCTGAGCTATAATGAAGACAGACTCCAAATGCAGGATAGGGCAGTTTAAGGAAGGCTTCTTAGAGGAGGCAGTCAGTGAGCTGGGGTTTGAAGAATGAGTGTGGTGGAGAGGGATTGGTAACTTTGGTATTGATTGGAAGACAGGATGGGAGGCAGATACTGTTGTAGTCACTCACAAACAGAAAATCCGGATTCTTGTATCTCATGTGGGTGCATCCAGGCAGGAGATCCAGATGAGTGGGGGTGATAATAAAGGGTTCTTAAAGGTTAGGGGGAAAGTTACAAACAGCATGATGGGCCAGGGATGAGGTGGAAGCATTGAAAGAGCTCCTGTTTCCAGATGCTTTTAAACCTGTGCTAACCTATGAGAGGGGAAAAGCCTGGGCGATTCTTGATCAGCAACAATGGATGAGTGGGCAGGGATTTGGGGGTCGGTGGGCCAGGGTGTGAATAACCTGCAATTGAAAAGAAGGCTCTGAGAAAGAGAACGATGTTCAGTCTGAAATATAATATTAAGTCATATGTGTTTTAAGAGTCTTAGCTTGCCTCAACACCAGAGCACAGGCACTAGGAATTTTATATACCATCCTCTGGTGACTGGGGAGGGACTAAAGATTTCAGGCCTTGTGGATGTGAGGCAAACATTCTACATTGAGCTACACCCCCAGCACTAAATAATTCTTTTGAACCATTCCACCTACCCTTTTTTTGTGTTGGGTATTTACAAGATAGGGCCTTGTAGGCTGGTAGAATGGCTCAAGTGGTAAGAGCGACTGCCTAGGAAGCGAGGCCCTGAGTTCAAACCCCAGTACCACCAAATAGAAAATATAAAATAATTTAAAAATAACATCATAAGATAGGGCCTTGCAAACTATTTGCTCGAGGCTGGCTTCGAACCATGATCTTCCTGATGTCTGCCTCCTGAGTAGCTGGGAACACAGGTGTGAACCACCAGCGCCCTGCTGCTTTAGTAGTTTTTCACACAGGGTCTCACGTTCTTACCTGGGCCAGCCTGGCTCATGAGCCTCCAAGTTTTCTGCCTCCTGAATAGTTGGGATTACAGGCGTGAGTCCATGCTTGCACAAAGCCTTACTGTAAGCCTTCTTACAGTAGGAAAACAGGATCCCAACTGCATGTCAGAAAGAATGACTAGAGGGCTGGGGATGTAGCTCAGTGGTAAAGGGCTTGCCTAGCAGGTACAAACCTTGTATTCAATCCCTACCATGAAAGAAAGAGACAGAGAACTGAATGGAGAGAGAGAGAGAGAGAGAGAGAGAGAGAGAGAGAGAGAGAGAGAGAGAATGGAGAGAATGGGGGGATGGGGGGGAGGGAAGAAAAGAGAAGAGAAAAGAAAAGAAAAAGCAAGGCAAGGCAAGCTTGGACTAGGCGTATCATGTGGGAGGTATTACAATAGTCCAGGCTTTAGCTGTAAGGTAAGTTCTGACATGGGAGTGTAAAGCATGTGGAGAAGACCAAGGCGGGGAGGGGAGAGGGGAGTGGGTGTATCCTGTTCCTAAGATAGGGCAAAACAATAGCTTTCTGACCCACAAAAATATGAAGGGCTGGTGGAGTGGTTCAAATGGCAGAGTGCCTGCTTAGCAAGCATGAGGCCCTGAGTTCAAGCTCCAATACCACCACCACCAAAAAAAAAAAAAAACCATCAGCCAGTACATTGC